GTTTTAAACGTCAAACATCAACGATGCCCATTTTGCTGGGGTAATAATTACATTTAAAAACATACGAATTTGTGATCACAGCTATCAAATCAGTTAATTTTTTTTAGCTCAGTGATAGGGTTTGGGTAAGTTTTTCCCATCCCCTAAATGATATTAAATGCTGTTGGCGTGGATACTCCGTTATATAGCAATAGTGTTGGGTGAGGTCAGAAAGAGGATGGAGACACACTTCAACGCTGACAACTTCAACAGCCAGTACAACCAAGAATGATACTGCCGAACTCTAGTTTCGAAATACTCCAGTCATAAAGACTGCGAGCAGAACATTTAAAATGCTGGTGGACACGGAACCTTCTATTATCGAACTAGCGAAAAGATTCCCATCTTCCACTTGCTTGTGCTGATTTATTACATGACAATAAATATACGCATCACGTCTTTTGATCGTGTCTTGATTAACATTAGTAATACGGAAAACTATTTACGGTTGCACTCCAAACTAATCGTATATTTACACTGAAGGCATACGGATTCATAGTTCACTCATTTTGCAACGGACGACGTTTATCATTTTTTATGCGCCGCCACAATAGAACAGAGGTGATAGACATTGATATCACACATCCTATTGCAGTTATGCAAAAGGAAAGCCTATAACAGGAAGCGTGCGCGCATGTGCCCTGCATGTGATCATAAATAAAGCCAAATAACAGACCGAACACCTGACTACCAATGGCAAAAGCCTATGTAGAAAAGAGGGGAGAACAAGAAAGATGGTTGAATTAGAAAGAGAGCATGTTCACACACACTCACAATGGTAACGATTGCGTAAAAAAGAATAACGTTCACGAAACAAGCTCAATTTTGCTGTACTTACACAGGCCATTATTCCCCAGTTGAATCCAAAGTGCTGTAATCCAAACCATTCACTAGTAATAGCGGGAGCAATACCAAATATACATCCATACCCAAATCCTATACAGATTGTTGCCAACCAGAGTGTCTTTAAACTTGTTGCGATAAATCCAGCCAATATCTGTCCAATAAGTAGTAAGACTCCTGCTATTATAATAAACCATAGTCTGCGGATATCATACATAGACCTGGTTATGTCCGACAAGACTCCACTGGACAGTCGACCGGTACATGAAAAAATTGATAATAAAAAGACGTGAAAATTCTGAATATGTTGAAGTTCGTGTGATTTGTTGGGTATTCCATGTCTATTGCGTGACGACGAGGCATAAAGTAATTTGGCTATAGTCCCCACGTTGTTGATATACATTAATCCAGCCCCACCAAGGAATATAATTGCCAAAAATAGCAATTGAGCGTTATTATTTAATATTAAACGCCATCCGCTAATTTCAGGCTCTTTAGGGAGCTGTCTCAACAATGGAGTCTGTTCCGACTGAGCGTCAGTATTAATTTCCAAACGCTGCTCACCGGGAATACTTCTCAATGATGGAGTCTCCTCATTCTGTGCCAGTTGCCTGTACCTATTAGTTTCCGCTTCGACGGATGCATTCGATGATTGCTGTGTCGTCTCGCTCAAGTCATCGTCTGTTATCGATTCAAGGGAAATAGGATCTAATAGACATGATCCAATAAATTGACATATACCAGTCGATATGGCGATGCACAGAAGGAAGCGATAGGTATCATCTTTAAAGAAGAGTGAATTGACTACGGAAAAAATACTTGCCGATAAGGCAAAACACGCAAGGGGGACGCTAAGACCTACCCCCCGTAAGTTAGGAAAGTTTTTAGCCTATTTCAGTGGATGGATAAGAAAATAAAGGATAATTGAACGACAATGATTAGTACTAGAGGAGAACGTGTATATATGTATACGCGATAGATCCATTGCTGTCGAGTTGTATGTATACTCCACAAAGCCAACACGTATTGATACACTTACAGCAGTCGTTAACGCAGACATAAAACCTGTCATAGCGAAATTATGAAAATCACTCGATCAGTACCAACCTTTTTTAACAGTGATTGACACAGAACTCGCATTCTTATTTACCTGCTGAAGATGCAACTCCCGACAACATTAAATATAATGCACATAACAAGAATGACTGAGGCAATAATCCATCGAACGTCAGTGCCAGACACAAGAAACTTGTGAATATCAAGAACGATCCAGCTAGGCAAACCCTAAGTCAGTAGAATAATGCGCGGTTTAATATAATTTCCTCATTAATTATAACCATTGCGTCGGTGCAAAACTTTCACACACCTTCGAGGACCATAGTTGTCAGCCAAGTAGCTTTACGTAATAACCGCCGAGGGAGTACGAAAATACGTTAATATAGTAAATACGTCATCACTGCTTTCGATCACTTTTCACACATACCCGTTGATCGGGCTCGTCAGAAAAAGCCCGTAATTACCAGCAGAAGCGATTATATTTGTCTGCGTGGATGATAATTTCAGCCTATCGGCCAGCGCAGGACCATATGCAGAAAACAAATACTGCGTGCCACTAACAATAGCGATAAATAAGACAGCAGTATATGACAGCGTCAATCTCATTTTCCAGGACAACGGTTTAGTAAGCATTTTGACTAATCGCGGAAAGCTTTAAAATGACTATTACTATATAATAACAATGCTTAAAGTTCTTACAGGCAAGAACGGCTGGACTGCCCCCACTCAATTTATATCAACGTATCACATGTGGTATTGCACAAATATTATTCGATATTGCAAATACATAGCTAAAACCGGAACATAACGCCAGAATGACGAAAAGATACATCTGGGTTAAAAAGTCACATTTTCCCCTAAATTACTACTTCAAACTAACTATTTCTGTAGATCAACCCGCTTAAATTCCTTTACTAGTGAAAAATCGGCAAATGATGATCTAATCGGTTCTTCCGCATCCTCCCCTATTACTATAGAATTGCCTGGAAATCATTCTTGTACATCACCAAACATACATTAAAAGTGATTACAAGGACATCACCGAATAAAGATAATCAATTTTCCAGCGTGTATTGAAAGATGATCTCTTGTCAAACGTACCATTTCCCGACAATTACAGAAAACGCCATATATCGAATAATTGACAAACGATTTCATTCGAGATCATCACAATAATTGATAGTATTAGTACATCAAATTTCACAGCAGATGCTATCGAGTACAGGCAAAGTTTAAAGGTTCACTATTATTATGGCGAAGCTTAGTCTTAAACCCGTAAAACATAAGTGTTCGGGATTCGATCAATAGAATGATAAATATGTTATTCGTCTGTCTTAAATTACATTTGTGAGTGATGTTATGTATCTAAGTTCATGGCGTAAATCTTCAATAGATACGGACAATCTGTCGTCTTTGATCGCATAGTCTTTATACGAAATATTTACATGGTATCAATAGATGTCAGCCTTCCTCCCCGTCGTTTATACCGTTTCCTTTCAGCTAGTCAGTTTTCGCTGCCGCAGAAACTTTCTCTGCTACTTCTTCCGGGACATTGACCTTCACTTCATGTTCGGTCACTGCACTTGGTGGAGGCACTTGCGCAGCATTATCCTCCCTGGAACGATGATAACTATATCTGAAATTGCCACTGGGAGAAACACCCGGTATGTTGCTCCTCGCATCAACGCGAAATGGAATTGGTCTCTCAGACATGAGTCTTTTTGCGTCGTCATTTCTGACGGTAGCGGCATTCTTCCCTAGCATATATCCTGCCGCACCAAAAGTTGCCATTAGGACGCCCAGGAGTGGGTATATTTCTGGATCGACGGCGAGGAAGCGCCATATCGAACGCATTCTTGGTCCGCCGCCTACAGGTCCTGACGCCATTATTGAATCAAATCGAATTGAAATTTACTCTGTGAAAAGAAAGGTTTATGAGAAGGAAAGTGTCGTTTCTTAACGGTAATGCTTGGTGATTATGTAAAGTGCTGTGGTATTTAAGCATTTTTTGCTATGACGATATGATGACGATTATGGAGTTTCGATGACGTTCGCAAAGTCGAGAGAGCGTGCGAGTGAAATTTTTCGGGTTTAGTTCGTTTTTCTTATAGCTTCTCACGCTTGATACGGTCTTTGCCTAATATATCAAGTGACTAGTAATAATAGTGGCGAATTAGTTAATATTAGGAACACGGTTGGCGAAATAACAAACCAAAATTTAGCAGGTAAACAAATGGTAGTTGTACCACGATCAAGTCAAACTGAGTAATGTCTATTCAAGCCGTCTTTTCGGAGCGAAAGTTAATTGTACACAACCGAACAAATCTGTCGAATATCCAATTTGGTCTTTCAGAAATTAGTTCATAATGCAGGGCATTCAGATGATCTGCATGCAAACGTCACCACGCCGAGTAAAGCATGTTGCACATTAAGTATCGCTTTCCATTTTGATATTGGAGCAATAATGTAGATTCTGCGTCATCATTGTTGATCGATTTAATCTTAATCTGGATATTAACGCGATGATTAGATTTAATTAATATTACTTATTTAATTGACCGATACGTTGGAATAACCTCATCTGACATGCGAGACATTACTTTTTGCACGCATCGACATACAATGAGATTTAACAAAATTATACAATTTCACAGAATTCAAGCTAGAGCCGCGCTTGGGGGACTGCCTAGACTGCAAGCTTGCGAGTAAAGATGACGTGAAACCAAGGAAGTCATAGACGTAATTCAACCAGATATTACAAGTCAGAATGTAATCTTCTCTTCTGCCCAGTAAATATCAATACGTGCACAGATTATGGGGGCCGTTCATTTTACTGCAAACATTTATTTGAACCGCTTTCCTATATTTTTGTTTCATATAAACCGTTACTGCCAAATCCTTTTTGATGAAACCAGATAATTGGCATAGTAAATAACTCGC